TGATTCAAATTCTGATGGGCTGACTCAGTCTAATCTGATAAATAAACTAAATAAAAGTTGTACTACTACTACTTGTATCAAGTGGAATATCCATGGCGATTTCTGATGGACAGTCGTCGATTTTTGGACACAGCACACAGGACACGTACTGCTGGTAGAATAAATTCAAGTCGCGGTCAGTCTTCCAAAAATCCCAGCCAGATCTTAAAACTTGTGCGTTGCTGCCACGAGCACGTGATGCCGCCAACGACAAGCCACGACGTCAAACGCCTGGACGACGGGGGCCACGCTGGGCCGCCGTGACCATACCTCGCTGGGCTGCAGCGTCGATCCATTGCCCTGCAAGGAACCCAAGCGCCAGCCGCCAGCGACCGGATCATATGTCTCTGACAGGTGGCCTCTCACGAAGTCACGAGTCACATCGCCGAAAGCCCAAAACTCTTTTTCTTTTTTAGAAAACCAAAGCCCAAAACTCTCAAAAGTGGAGAAGAAAACAATGGAAACAATGCACGAAGACGTGCCTGCAAATGCAAAACATGTGGACGGAATTTCCCACTGGCTTCTAGTGCAACCCATGGAGGCATGGAGGGCGGGCCTCGTGGCCAGGGATCAAAGACCCGTTGCTCTCTCTCTCCAGAGCAAAGAGCAAAGAGCAAAGAGCAAAGAGCAAAGAGCAAAGAGCAAAGAGCAAAGAGAAAAGAGAAAAGAGCAATATACAAGGTGGTTTCCCTGCTGTGTGAATATCTAGTAGGGAGGCCTCCGGCGGTGAGGCGACAGGACCCGTGTTTGGGCTGGGGCCTCGGCATCGTGGTGGTGGCTTTGACGTGTCAAAAAGCGAAGCGGCGGCGGGCCAGACGACAGCGCCAGTCCCCGCCTCCCTGCGCTTTTCTAGTCTATCCATCCATCCATCGAGCCGAGCAGGCGCGACGGCGGACGGCCCGGCGCGTCCTGGCGACCCAATTTTAGAAGCCAAGCAAGTTACGTTTCGTCGCATGAGATGAAAGCACCAAAGCGGAAGCGGATAGGATCGGATTTCGAAGGCCTCAGATATTTGTCCAGATATTTCTGTAGGAGCAGCAGCGCAAAGTCAAACTCCGGAGGTAGTTACTACTACTGATGGAGTGAGGGTATAGCTCATTTTCGGCTTGGTAAGCTGTTCTCGCGTGTGCATACCAGGCCTAACTTTATATACTACTATATATAGTAGTATAGTTTGCAAGATATTTTTGCGTGTGTGCATATAAATAGGGGAAGTTTGGCCTTTGCTTTTGGCTTTTGCCGAGCTTTATCGTCGATCAAACAGCCAAACCGCGTCTCTAGTCTCGACACGATGACACATATCCACGAGCCACCGCAGGTGCGGCCCACCAAAGGCGACGACGGGAAGGCAAGCCAGCCGACCGGCCGGGCCGGACCGATAGGAACACCCAACACCCCCACCCCTGTCGTGCAACCCCACGACAGCGCATGGTTGGGTGAGCTGCGGTGGCGGACGAGCAGCTCTGGAGGCGAGGCGAGGCGAGGCAACCCGACCGGCCACAAGAATCGAGCGGCGCCCGGGCGTCCTCCGCTCCGGGCCCCACGAAGCCTGTAAAGGCGGATAGATTATTCATCCTGTCCCGGCGGCGGCGTGAGGACGGACGGAAAAGCGCGCACGGAAAAGGGACACCGGCGGAAAAATCCTGTCCGACGTGGCGCCCTGGCCTCGCCTCGCCTCCCTTTTTCTCCGCCCTCTCCCCCTCTCGCTGCACCATCCAGCCTCCATTTCGTTTCCTGCCTCATTGCCTTTGCCTGCCTCCTCTCTTCTCCTCCCCTCCCGCTTCAGGACCGGCAGCTCTCGGAAGGGTGTTCAGCAGCCGGTGGCTTGGTCTCGGTGGTGCATGCTCTCGCCTTCTTCTGCTTCCTGCTGCTGCTGCTTGATTCGTGCTCGTGGTGAAGAGCCGGGGGTTGAGGTGCTGTCAGACTCGGTGGTTCAGAAATCTCGAGATGGCTCGTTTTCAGGTAACTAACTAGTCTTACTTTCTTCAGCTGTTGTTATTCTTCCCGATCGTTTTGGTTTGTTCGGGGTAAAGCGTGTTCTTGGAAGTCTGTTACTTTGCTGCCATACATGTATGCCCCCAAAAGAAAGGCTGTTGAGTTGTTGTTTTGGCTGAGAAAATCCTGAGTTCCTCTCTGTTTCTGAAGGCGAGGAACGATCAAAGGCCTGCTGCAGATCACGTCGGCCATGGAAACTTCATGGATCATCTGATGAACACACTCAACTCCGGTGAACTGAACTTGCCAGGAGGAGCGCGAGCCCCTAAGGTACACCTAAAACTTCTCTTGCGATCTGCAGAGCAGTTTTAGCACCGAATTCCAAATCTAATGAAGCTGGAGATGTTTTCCTCTCACCAAGGTCACACTTTTGGCACTTGCCGTTTAGGCACGCAAGCCATACACGATATCCAAGAAGAGGGAGAAATGGACCGAGGACGAGCACAAGCTCTTCTTGGAGGCCCTGCAGCAGCACGGCCGTGCCTGGCGCCGTATACAAGGTGAGAAGAGTGCCTCTGCGCCTGTCACCCTTCTTTATTTATGGTCATGTACTACAAGCTTTGTTACCAGAACTGCACAGAACCTGGCTGATGACCTGTACAATCTGCAGAGCACATAGGCAGCAAGACTGCCGTGCAAATCAGGAGCCACGCGCAGAAGTTCTTCTCCAAGGTCTCGTTGCCTCTTGCATAGAAAAAAAAAACCCATCAAATCCCCTCTGCCTGAAAATTCCATGGATTGTGTTGCTTGCAAGGTGATGTAAGTCAGCTCAACCATGGACAGCAGATGCTATCCATGCTGTGCCATCCGAGATGTGCTTCTGATTGCTTTTTGCTTTGCACGCTGCAGGTCTTCCGAGAATCCTCTGGGGATAGCAACAGCGTAGCTGCTCCACCGCAAATTCAGATTCCGCCGCCACGGCCAAAGAGGAGGCCAACACACCCATACCCGCGCAAGCTGGGTAATTCAGTCGGCAAGGATGCCTCTGCGATCAAACAGCTTCAGAAGCCCCTGTTGCAGACACAGTCCCTGTCTGAGCAGGAGAATTGCTCACCAAAATCTGTGTTATCCACAGCACAGATTGACTCCGAGACCCTGCAAACTGAAGGTAGTGGATCACCAGCTTCCTCGGTTTACATGGAGGACAAATGCCTCACTCCAAGCACATCAGTAGCACTTTCCAAGGTACTGAACATTGTTACAGCCATAATATACCTTGCAAAGCATATGTTCTTTCATTCCTAAGAATATTAAGCATCCAACTAAAGTCCATAACCTCACCATGTATATCAGCATACTAGCGGTTCCTGGCACCTTTTTACATTAATTCTAGGTGGCATGGAAATGGAATTGAAAATTCGTTTCCTTTGAGAACAGCATCTAATAGCACAGTTGATAACACCTAAATTCTTAGTTCTAACAAACGCCTTAAATATGCTGCAGGATGCCACCACTTCCAACGATGCGGCATGTGAAATACCTGAAGGTCCAGTTCTTAGGCTATTTGGCAAGAGGGTAGTGGTTAATAATTTAGATCAGCAGCCAAGCTCCAATACTGGGAGCCTACAACATGTGGCAGACATGGAACTGGATGCTTCAGCTGAGACACCAACTAGTGGAACTGGGAAGTTGTCTTCCCAAGTTACAGAAGAAGCAAAGACATGGTGCCCATGGCTGACCGGTACACAGCAGTTTATGTACTATCTTCCTCAAGGGGAGGTGTTCTCTATGCACTCTGCTTGCCAATTCCTCAACTACGGTAATGGAAGCATATCTTACACAGTGTTGAACGCAGAGACGGTTACCTCAAATAAGCAGCAGAACCAACCATCTCAAGCTGTAGACTGCAAGGTCACGAGGGCAGAAGGATCATGGACGGAGTCGAACACAACCTCTAGCAGTGTGGCTGAAACAACTCAGAATTCAGATTCTATAGAATGCACGAAAGTAAACAACGATGAAGACAAAGTGATACCTGTTCCAGGTTCAAGGAAATGTGCGAGCACAGTTCCAGCCTGCCTTCGAGGTTTTGTACCATACAAGAAGTGCACAGCTCAAAGCAAGATGCTGCAGTCAGAGGAAACTGGGGAGGAGGCAGATAGAGAGATGACAAGGCTGTGCCTGTAAAATTTTGGGCCCTCGCCACCGCTACTCTGGATATTTTTGCTGATATTCAATACGTATGACTAGTACAGTACATCAGTACTGATGTTTTGCAGGATGACCATTCTGGCGTTCTGCTGTTACTTATGAGAGGCAGATTGAAACTGGTGAAGCAGCCTTCCACAAATGGAGGTGACTGACTGACTGTGGTTCCTGTCTGCCATTGTATAGCTCAAGACTAATGTTTCCATTTTCCTCTCGGAGTGTTTGTAATTTTCCCCCGGCAGTGGAGGTTCAGAGGTCAATGGTTGTCATTCAGCAAGTAATGTAATAGTTGTAGTAGGAGACCATATTGTATGACCTGTATATGTAAATTACGAATGTTTTGTGAAACAATGAAATGGCAGCTACACGACCAAATGCTGCTAAGGTTTCTTCAGTTACTCTATTGACATATGAACTTCACGTGAGCTTTGCCTGCATCAGTGTGTCTCATCAGGGACTTTGCCGAAACCTACAATCAAGTTTTTGAACAATGTTCAGTACCTTAAAAGTTGTAACACTGGTGGTGCAGTACAATCTAGTTTTTGAACAATGATCAGTACCTTAAAAATCGTAACACTGGTGATGCAGTACGGCCGTGCTACAGACATCTGCAATGAATGAATTTAGTTTACACAGAGTTTAAGTAATACAGAAAGACTTGTCAGGTTCATCGAACAAGCGTCAAGGAAACTGGATGACATTTCGCTTGGCACCTGGCCACGATCCGTCAGGGTCCAGGCCTTCGTTTCGCAACCTCAACAAAGATTACTCTGCCATCCAGGAACTGCAGAACATAGAGTGTGCGCTACAAACAAAGCCTACAAGTTATCTGAACATCTGACGATCAACAGATTATCACACAAGCATCTGACGATCTGAACATCTTTCACCTTCCCGTGCATTCCTTCCATGGCGCCCCTGGCTTCCTCCTCCTCGGTGTAAGAAAGGAAAGCGAAACCTCTCGGTCGCTTCGCTACTCTATCCATCACGAGACAAACTGGAGTAGCAAGCATGAAGCAAATCTGAATAATTCTGAATCAAAACGGGTGCAGTTTCTCATCACATTACTCATCTCGGACTGTCACCTTCCGTAAGGTCACCAAACTTTTCGAATGCGTCCCGGAGGTTCTGTTCGGTGGTGCGGAACGAAAGACCTGTTCGAGGAAGGGAACCGTCAGAAACTCAGAACGTGTGCTTTAAGATTTCGGCCTTGAAGATTTCGAATTTCGTCAGGAAATCGTTGGCTGAAAGACCTAAAATGCACGGCATAGGATTACCAAATCTAGGAGCCATGTGAGTGCGCTGAGATCGGGGCGCCTAACATAGGATTACCAAATCTAGGAGCAAAGTGAGTGCGCTGAGATCGGGGCGCCTACCGCTGACGTACAGCCTGGTGGCGGCGTCATGGGAGGCGCTCGGCTGCTGGAGGCAGGCCGTGGCAGTGGACGCGCGCTGCTGGTTGCGGACCCCAACGCGCGAAGCGACCGGACGATGCGTGGGCGAGGGGGAGGGGCATGCCACGATATTGAAGCTGAAGCTTCTGGAAGCAGCGATGGTGAGGGCAAAGCCGGCGTGAGCGCTCGCCATTGCCGGAGGTGTGGAGTCTCGGAAGGATAAGCCTTGCCTTCCTATTCGGGCCGAGGGTTTGAACCGTTTTCAGTTGGATGCTTTCTCCGTCAGGATATGAGTCCTGACTACTATATCAGCCTTATTATGTCTGAAAACTTCCCTTGTTGCAGCTTTAGTTGCCTGAAGAATCAAGGGAAACAACTAACACTGAACAAATTCTACTTTCTACCAGGAAATTACAACTGATACTAGTTCAATTCAGCACTGCATTGTTTTTTTAGGAAACATTCTGCACTGCATTGTTCATCAGACTAGATCATGGTAACTGAATCAAAGAGGAAATGGAGAAGAAAGAGGAGGCATCCAGCCGCCATTCACTCAATCTTATCTGTACATTCATATCTACAGTAAGTTAAACTGCCTATTTTCATTGGCAAAAAAGGAGTCAGTTATCTGTTCCGCTAATATCATCTTATCTGCTCCATGTCATTTGTCTTCTTGCTCAACAGTAGACACCCCAATCTGACCTTGTGGTTACTCTTGTACATTCTTGATTGTGCCCTCTAGCTGATGTTGTATTTTTTCAGTACTGTACTTGGCATAGACACTGCCCTTATTCTCTTCCCACCAGTGCTGAGCTTCCTTCTCGCCAAAATGCTTCCGGCTACACCACCAAGAATGCCTAGTTAGGTTACGGCAAATGTAAAAGGTAAAATCAAGCACCAGTAAGTCATCCTAGGACTCACCTGAATCGTACACGTTTTTTGTCTTTCTTGCCGCTAGGTGATACAGCAAATGTGACATAAACCCCATGCTCGATTTGCTCAATCACACCATTGGAGGTGACTCGAGCAACAAGGGAATTCCCTTCTGTAACACAGCCATTACCATCAAATGTTCTTGAACCATTCAAATGACTGCACGATCCTTCTACCTGCACATCAGAACTCGAAGAAGGTGTATATTCTTCATCTCCTTTGCTGCTGGACTGCTGATTTTTGGTGTTGTTGAGTTGTCCGAATTTGCCTGTGGCAAGCTTTTCACTGGGATAATGCTGCAAATCTGCTGACAATGTTTGTCCTTGGCTGATATTAGATTTTGTCTCAAGGTTCTCATATTGCTGACCAACCAAAAGTTTCTCTGACAAGGCCTTACACTGCACAGTTCACAACAGGCAAACATGCCAATCAAGGCAAAGTGATGCATGGCACTTTCTTTCTTACTGAAACTAAAACTGCAACTGAAACAGTGTACTGATTGGAATCAGAGTATGTATCATGCCCATACCTGATCAGTTAGAACCGTTATGATGTCTTTGGCAGCTTTGCATTTTGCAGCCTCATCCCTAACAATTAGCCATGTCTCATCAAGTTTTTGTTTATACAGTTCAACCTGAAGAGCTTTTTGATGGTACTGCTCCACGAGAAGTGTCACCTATTGAAACACCAGAAATAGTATTATAGCTTATTTCTGGAAAGGGAAACAAAATTATTTGCTTATCAGTGACATAACCGCATAAAGTTACCTGTGAACGAAGCTGCTTTACTTCTTCTGTGAGCAAGGTTTCTGTGCTGTTCAGATCTTTCCTCTGGTCATCATTAGGCTGTTGCAGAGATCTGCCAGACTTCAGCACTATGGGGTCATGCATTCTCTCGGAAACAGAGGCACTACACATATGATTCTTTGATATAGATTGATACTGAAAACTGTCTTCTCCAGGTAGAAATTGAGTTGGGCACTCAACTTGCCCCCATCTCTGAGATTTTGCTTGGACTGGAATGGCCGGGACCTCATTTCTCTGATTGGGGCGTTGTACTAAAGCCACCTTTTCTACAGGTAAGTTTGCATCCCTGAATATACGAGACAACTTTGGTGTGTATGACCTTATAATTTCAGCTCCTTTGCTGGTCTTTAATTCAGACTTTACCTTAGCAGAATCCACAACTTTAGTAGCTCACTGAAACACCCATCACATACGCGATACCTTCTGCTCTTGTCTGGTGCAAGTGCTGCCCTGGCAACCTTGTTACTACTACAGGAATTGCAGAACATGGAGCCACAATGGTAACAGTTGTGCTTCTTTCTAGTGAAACCAAAAGCCATCTTGCAACCACTACATACAGAGAGGTCCTTCCTTGAGATTATCTTATGCAAACATACTGCTGCAGTGTAATTGTAACCACAAGATATGCTTTCCACTTGCCTACCTTCCAATGCATCTACTAAAGTTGGAGTGCTCCTATTAAGGTAGTCACCTAAACCAAGCTGCCCTTCCTTGCCTTTACCCCATGTAAACACTTTCCCATTTGTAGTCAGCACTGCTACATGGGAAGAACCTGATGATATATGTCTGACAAACTCGGTCTTACGTAGTCCTTCAACAGCACAAACAGTTTTACCATCTGCATGGGGGTTCCCCAATTGCCCATGCATGGAACTGCCAATAGTGAAGACCACACCAGTAATAGAAAGAACAACAGTGAGTGCCATCCCGCAGGACACCTGAATAAAATCATAGTCTGTCAGTGAATCAACGCATGTTGGTATAAGCTTCATCTTTTTGTCAGCATGACCCAGCTTCCCCCGATCCGCATCGCCCCATGTGAACAGCTTGCTTCTTGGTGAATTGCTCTTGAAATCACTGATTACTTCCACAATGGCAGCTGTGTGCCATGGCCCACATGCCACACATTTCACTCTTGAGCCTTTCAAATACTCTACTTCTTTTGGTCGAGTAGTTCCTTGTGTGTCTCCATGACCAAGAACATCAAATGTTCCATCCCCATATGTGTATAACTGACCAGACGATGTTATTATTGCTGTATGCCAAGGCCCACAAACAATCTTCACAACAGATATGCCATCCAGTGGACTAAACATTTTATGCGGAAACCATTGATTCTTTGCATAGCAGTCCAACTGACCCATATGGGGTCCTTCGCCCCATTCAAGAAGTTCACCAGAAACAGTTACTGCACAAGCGTGCTTTGATCCATATGCCACAGCCTTCACATGTAAAGAGGCAAGAGACTCAACAAGCTTGGGTCGGGAGACTTTGATATTTACTTGATTTCCAATTCTGCCACTGCTCTCATTGCCCCAGGAGTAGACCTCCCCTTGCTTAGTGATTATAGCTGCATGAGTCTCTCCGCAAGCAATGCTTTGTACATCAAGCATGTTGGTTGAGTCCACTAACATTGGAAGGGATTTTGAGGTATCATCATAGTCTAAAATACTTCCAAAAGCATCACCCCAGAAAAAAACATCCTTAAGAGAATCCAACCTACATGCTGCACGGGGTCCTTCAAAGGTTTTCAGTTTAGGTGTTTGGGTAATTTTCTGCTCCTTTTCTTTGTTACCAACCATAATATCATTCAAACCATGTATTTCTGGAGTTGACATCTTGCGTGTAAGCTTTTCCAGGTAGGTATCTATGTCAGAGAATGTTCGCTGCCTTGGGTAAAATAATGCTTCTCAACAATCAGTACTACCACCAAAAAATGTTCCATGTGTCTTCTTGGGGTTCCTGTGTGATGAATATACCTTAACATGAAATGCATTAGACGAATCGTTAGACCCAAACAGAAGAACTGTAATTTAACCAAGAGCACTAGGCGTGTAGAAACAAAAAAGCGTATCAGTAAGGCATGTCTACTTACATATGGTGATATGGACAAGATTAAAACAACACAAATTATTGGGTTCATAAAGTCAAAATCATTTCAATGTGGATCTCATTTAATAGCCTTGCAGTCATAACTCATAGGTGTGTGGTTTGTTGAGATTGATATAAGTTGGTACAACCTAAGAATATTCTGTTTGTCAATTAGCCTCCTGAATTTCAAATTCAGACAGTCCATGCCCTGTACTTGCCACGTGAAGCCCCTTTCCCAACAAAAACAAACATTGCTACATGAAGTACCAGAGAAAAATGTCAAAGCAAGCGATATAAGTGTTACCATTCAGATGCTACAATGTAACTTCTTGAACTAACCTGTATGTGCCTTGGTGTGCCATGCGCACTTGGTAACCTACTCTTAAGTTGAATATAGCTGCTGGGAGTATTTGTACAACTGTCCATCTGTCTACTGCTCCTTGATCCAATTGATGAACATGGGCTACAAGGAGTTGGTAATAAGGCCCTCAAGCCCAGATATCAGTATTCAGCTTGATCTCTATCGCTGCAGATCTGGTCATTGTTTTTGAAAGATATGGTGCTGGTGAGAAAAAAAAAGGACACTACAGACTTACAAACCAAAATGACTTGGACATTGCAATGCACATACCAAGTCAAGTGAGTGCTCTCCATTTTTGTATATAAGTGAAAAGGAATGGGATTCCTTCTCTGGACAACGCTGTCGCAGAAATTTTATCTGCAAAATTCTGAAATCTTTAGAAATAGTTGCATTATAATATGAATAACGAATACCATGACTTTTTTGCAGCACAAAATGAATTGTGTACCGTCTTCTGGTCAAGAACCACAGCTGACACGGAGCTTAAGCTCAAGTGTTTTTCCCTCCCTTTTGAGTACCATATCAATGTTGTCTCATCCTGAAAATAGAAGGAAAAAATATTTCCCCATGACTGGAAGGTGGATTTTGATATAACTAGTTAACTACATATACATAGCATAACAAGCTGCAATTCAACTATAATACAATAGCGGACAGGAAACTGGCCAAGACCTCATAGTTCAATTGGACAAAACTTTATGACTTTCCCCTCCAGAATGGTGCTGTTTCGGATATATTCATGTCCAAATACAAACATTTGACTGCTACTTCTTCTGATCATATCTACGTAGAAATTATGAAATAAAAACTGGAGGCACTTCTGAATTTCTGATCACCAATATACTAATATCATTTGTCATGTGACAAACCTAAATACTTGTATGACTATTAGTGGTCACGGTTCAAAACTTGGGCTGCTCTAGAACGAAAGCTTGGAATGGTGGTCCTAGCTTCAAAAGTTTGAACTCTATTATAGAATCGTATGATATCGACAGAGGTATTTGCAGTTCTGTGACATTTCAGAAAATGGAACTGTATAAGTCAGTCAAAGGAATCTTCTGTAATTTATTGGTTGAGACTAATAATATTACTCACTATCGAATCTATTTAAACCTGATGCCAGTCTCTCTCTGGCAGCCGGCAGGGCTTATTAAGCAGTTTCCGAAGGGCACGAGCAATATCTAGTTCAACACTTCTAGCAGAATGAACTGGGGTAGGAAAAAAGTATTGAAATAGGTAGGTAGAAATCCAGTATCCACATGATTTTTTTGGTTACCGTTAGGTCTGTATAACTTCAGAATTACCACCCCAGGCATTCAAGCTCCCCTTAATAAACTAGGAGTCGTGTGTAAATAAAAAGGAAATAAATAAGAAGAAACTGAAATCATGGACAACAAGGGAGTACCCCTGTATCAAAGGAGACAGGTTCTAGGATTTCTTGAAGTGAAATCGCAGGCACTAGATTACTCACAAATGACAGCCTGAAGGCGCAGAATTTAGGCTTCCCCCTCTTGCCACATTTCAGGAGATGTGCGCCCTTCTTCAGAGCAACGATGGCCTGAACAAAGCAACGAGCTGAAGCAATCAGTCGGTGCATTCCAACCCTCTGCATTTCATTTCCCCCAAAAATGCAGGTATAAAATCCCCCAAAAAATGATTAGGAAAAGAGGAAGCATTAAAAGTCTTCCCACTCCAGCCTACTAAAAGCGACCGTGAAATCCTCCAAGAAATGGACTGGAAATGGGTAAGTGGGGGAAGGAGATTTTGACTCGCCTGCTCAACGCCTCTGGTTGGCGTCCTCCCGTCGAAGCTCCCCGCCATTGCAGGCCAAATGGAGAAACAAGCAGGTGGCCAAACTACTTGGATCGGCCCTCTCCCTCTCTCTCCACCCTCCTTTGAGTCCTTTGTTCACAGAATCACAGGTGCCACAAAGCCAAAGCTCGAGGCTGTGGAGTGAAGCGACTGAAAGAAAAGGAAGCAAAGGGACAAGGCCTTGTTTATATTAAAAAAATTTCAAACCGATGAATAGTAGCACTTTCATCTTATTTGGTAAATATTGTCCAATCGTGGACCAACTAAGATCAAAAGATTCATCTCGTGATTTCCAACTAAATTGTGCAATTAGTTTTTTTTTTACCTACATTTAATGCTCCATGCAAACGGCTAAAAATTGATGTGATAAAGAGAGTGAAAAAACTTAATTTTGAGGGTATAAGGGAGAGAGTTGTCCGTGTCTTGCAAATGAGCTGCAACTGCGAGCCTGCGGGCAGTTCAGGGCTTCAGGCAGGCCGCAGGGGTCAGGCTCAGGCAGGGCCCTGCAAAAAGACCCTCTTATCATTAAAAAATTCAAATGCACTAAGATACCGTGACACTTTACTTTTTTTTCCTCCACGCTATTTTGTTCATCTTTCGTCTGTTTTCCACCATTTAGCAGCCCTGACATATGAGTTCAAACGGTCACAAAGTCTAAAATACACTTCTCTCACAACCTTATCCTCCCACTTCTTTCTCTCTATCCGGTGGGGCCAACCTGTAAGTGACCCGGACATTTTCTTCCTCGTCAAGAACGCGGCCGGGGAGAGCTCGTCCGTGCACTGTCGCAGTTGCGGGGGGCGGCACCATCGTGGTGGTCACGGCAGAGCTCGCCCACGCGTGCCCGTTGTGGACGGGGCGGAGCTCGCCCGCGCGGGGGTGGGGCGGGCCACTCGCGGCGGCGCCCACGCTGTTGGAGTCGAGGACGGCACGCGCGTCCGTGGCGTGGGGCAGGGCACACGTAGCGGCGGTCGCGACGTCGGCACCTAGGACGGTCGCGGGGCAGGGAGGGCGCCCGTGCGGCTGCGGGGCAGCGCGGGGGCGCTCGTGGGGTCTGCGCGTTCGCGGCGTGATGCGGGGCACACGCGGCGGCGGCCGCGACGCCGGCGCCGAGGACGGCAGGTGCAACCGCGGGGCAGGACGAGCCGCTAGCCAGCCGGCACGGCGGACCCGTTGAGGAAGCTGGTGGTGATGACGCCGTTGTCGTCACTCCTGGGAGCAGCGGTGACGGAGCACCGGGTTGGTGACGGGAGGCGGGAGCGCCGGGGTAGAGTCGGGTGGCGCCATGGCGGGTGCCAAACGCGGGGATGGCGAAGGCGACGCAGTGGAGAAGCTCCACCGCTCGATGCGTGCGTCTCCGTGCTCCCCTGCGTGGAGGCGGAGAATCCGACGAACACGGCGCCCTTGACGTGCTCTCCGTGGTCGAGCGGCGCGGACAACACGGGCCTGGGCAGGCGCTTGGGCGCGTAGGACACGGACACCTCCAAGACGCCGCCTTTCTCGTCATCGGAACTAGAGGGACGGTAGTCGATCCAGGCGTTGACGGTCCTCTCACAGGTGATATCGACGCCGCTGGTGGCGTCGTCCCTGAGGTTGGCGGAGGCGGCGGAGACCATGGAGCCGAGATCCGGGCCGACATAGTTCTCATTAGGGTCGCCGAACTGGACGTCCATGAGTGTGTCAAACTCTACTGCGGCGGCATCGGTGGCTTGGGACGGGGTGGCGCAGCTCTACGCGGCTTGTCGTCCTCGTTGGCTTCTGCGACAACGCCTCGCGCGCAACGCCACGCGAGCGGCCGGAGCGAGTAGCAGAGGGACTCTGCCTTGCTAGCTTGATGACCTCACCGGGAAGTCATGCTTACACCTTATACAACCATTTTCCTTTAGAAAAATAAATTCAGAAATACTTTAGAAATACACTTATACTGGCAATGAACTTGCACCGTTCCTCTCTGGATCTACGGCCAAGATTAAAAGATCACATACACTTATGCTAGCAGCTCTGAGGATAGTTTAGACATTTTTCAGCACAGTTTGACACCGTTAGAGCTAAAAGTAGACGGAATGACGTGTTAGATAAAAAAGTTTAGCGTCGTAATATCAAGATTCATTTGAATTTTTTATGATATATAGGCCTGGAATATTTTTATAATGGCAAGCGGGAAAAGGCTCCCTGCAAAAGGTGAACAGGTGGCCGTGTCACCTGTGCCTTGTTGAAGAGGGAACAGTGGTGGAGAGCTGAGAGCAGGCCTCGCTCTTGCTCTCGCGCGCACGCCGCACGAAGTAGTACTAGCTACCAAACAACCATACTCCTAGGCCAGTCCTGCACTCTTCGGACTTCGGTGAGCGTGTGAGCGAGGAGGGGTTGTTTGTGGGTGCTCGTGTCCAGCGTCCTATCCTCTGAAAAATCTTGGATTTCATCCGTGTCAGCGTCTGGGTTCTTTGATCTTGGAAGTGTAGACTCAGGAGCCTGTTTCGTTTGGCTGTGGCTTATCATAAACGATCGTAAATTTTCAGTCAGAATTGTATTTTTTTCTCACATAAATCAGTCAGCAGTACTTTTTCACGAATCAGCAACGAAATGAACCAGCCAACCGAACAGGCTGTAGGTGCGGCAAGTAGACGCTACCGCAATAATGGTGTCCAAGAACCCGATATGGAGCTGTGCTGTTTAAATCCGGAGGCTAATGCACGTGTCCAAATATATAGGCCCCGTTCGCTGGTCTGAAATTTGGCTGAAACTGGCTGAAAAACACTGTGCCCGGCAGAATTGTTGTGAGAGAAAAACATTGTTCCAGCTAAAAAAAGAAGCCAAACAAGTCGAATATTGGGTAAATCGAACATGGCCATTATGGGATATAGACTAAACTTTAGAAGGAGAAACTAAACACGACCTTTATTTTAGGTCTCCAATGTCTCACGAGTTCGGGACTTGGGGTACGACGAGCGCATCGGACAGCGAAGCACGCGTGTGTCCGCTGTTGTTTTGTGGCGAAAACGAGCGTCGAGGAACGATGATGTTGGGGTTATTTAAGGGTTACTTGCTTGCCTTTTTCTATTTTAAATAAATAAGCTAGGAAGGTTACATCTTACATGCTTACCACTATATATAGTTGGCCATGCAGCCCGAGCCCGTCGGCCTGGCCCAAGGCCCTTTTTGCCAGGCCCGAGCACAGCCCGGCCCGTTGGCCAGCGGGCCCGGACTGGCCCGGCCCGGAGGAACAGGCCGTGCTTGGGGTAAGCACGTGGGCCGGCACGGCACGGCCCGCTACAGAGCAGCCGCCCCGCTTGCGGCCCGGCCTACCGCCTCCCCGCCGGCCCGTAAAATATCCAAAGGCCAAACAAACCGCCCAGCAGGCCAACCCTAACCCCACCGCCTACCCTCTCCCTCCCCCGCCGCCGCACTCTGCTCTCTCTTGGCTCTCGCCCAGTCCCTCGCCTCGCCTCCTCCCCACTCTCGCTCGCTCCCTCTCTTCTTCGCGACTCGTCGGCGGGGTGCGCCGCCGCGGGCTCCTCTCCTCCTGCCGCCACCTCCCAGTCTCCCACCTCCACTCCAACCCACCGCCGCACTCCCTACCGCTCGCGGTCGTGGTCGCGAGTCAGCTTCGCGACTCGCTCGCCACGTCGCCTCCCCTCCCCACTCTCTCTCCCGCACGACTCGCCTCCATGTCGGCCACCGCACTCTCCCGAGTCCCAACTCGCCTCCGCGGCCCCCAGCGGCGAGCCGCCGACGGTGGCTACCACCTCCTCACCGCCCCGCACTGCCGCCGACGGTGGCCACCTCCTCCTCACCGCCACGCGCTGCTGCTCCTCCCTATGCCTCCTCTGCGCGGATTCAGCCTTGTTCTCCGTGGATCCGGCCTCCTCATCGCTCATCCTCCACGGATCCAACCAAGTCGTGGTGCGGAGAGGTCGCGTCGTCCACGGCCTTCGCAACGACGGCAGCCTGGCCTCCCCCTCTCTGGCTCTCTCTCTCTGTCGGTGACTCGGTGTAGTGGGCTTGGGCCGGCCCGGCACGCTGGATTAGCCGTGCTTCTCGGGTCGGGCCGGCACGAAAAATGGCCCAGCAGGCCATGCCTAGGCCGTCGGCCAGGCACGAAGCCCATGGCGGCACAGCCCGCGGGGCGTGTCGTGCCTTGTCGGTCCGACCCCCTATCGGGCCGAGCCGGGCCGGCCCGTTGGACATCTATGCCACTATAGGCTTGAGGATCGTTTTTAGGTGTGTTCGTTTCTGTGTGTTGGGCACCAAGATTCTACATTTAGGTGATCTTTCGTTGCCTTGCCTTTGTGTTTCTCGCTTGAGCCCTTGAGGTGGAACACTGTACAGAGTCAGAGCGAACGGATCGGAGATCCGGCACGGAAAAGCGCTTTTCGTGAGGATCTCTCGTACGATTCGCGAGCGGCAATTGAAGGCCGCTGTAGGTGGATGGATAGGCCGGCGCGCGGCGGTCTCACACGCGCTTACTGACTTCGCGACAGCTGACAGCATGCTGGCCGGTGCTCGTCGTATGCCATCGTAAATTTTTAGTTGAAATAGTATTTTTTTTTTGTCTCATACAAATTAATTAGTAGTACTTTTTCACGAATACGATGAAACTAACGAGCCTGTCGAACAGGCTAGGCGAGCGAGCAAGCTCAAGCGGGGGCGCAGCATGATGCCCGTGGGCCATGCATCGGAAAAAGTCCGGGTCGCCGGAGCACTGACCAGGCTCAAGCAAAACGCATGAGGCGTCGTCGGCTTTTCCGTGTGAGAGCCAACCATCACCGTCGCTAGCTTTGCGTAAGTTGCCTGCGCTGGCTGGCTGGCTGGCTGGCTGGCTGGCTGGCTGCCGCAAGCAATTAACTTCTTCATGCTCTCGTGCACGTATCGGTGCACACGCATTCTGCCTCAAATCCTTATCCTTGGGGATGGATGAAGCAACGGGTGAGAGTTGTGTATTCTCTCTTACTGAGGCCGTGTTTGTTTGTCTTATAATCCGTATTTTTCAGTTTGTTTTTTTTCAGCTGAAA